TTGCAAAAAATTATAAAATGACACTTAAATATTTATTCAGATAGAAAGAGAAAAAGAAAAAGTTATTACTCTATTTATAAGATAATTGTATTTTATAAAAATAAGTAATTTTAAAATTTTTACCACAAAAAAATATTTTTCAAAATTATTATATTTTTTTAATAAAATTAATAAATAATATTTTATTCTCAATTTTGGAACGGGCCGTCTTGCTATACTCTTGGTGTTAATTTTGCATCTGGAACGGCCCGTTTCAGATGCAAAATTAACATACCAAGAGTGCATCCAGAACGGCCCGTTCTGGTTTCAGAACGGGCCGTTCTGGTTCCAGGTATTTTCAAAAAAATTGGTCTCCACGTGGCATCCACCTATGCATCTATGTGGCATCCACGTGGCCAACGTTTAACACCGTTAAAGAAATTTGGACGGAAGTCCCACATTGAAACCAATTAATTTATTAGGGACCTAATTGAAACCAATTAATTAGTTTAGGACCAAATTAAAACCGAAAATAAAGGGTGGACTAAATTGAAACAAACAATTATTATAAGAGACCAAAATAGATTTTTACCCTTATAAAAAAAACGTGTGCAAAAAAAATTATTGATCATAGTATTTAATTCGTGTTAATGTTCATAGAAAGAGAAATTTTAATGAACTACGCATTACATTTTTAATTGAATTAAAAATAATTTTAATCTTTTAAATGTGAAATAAATTTATTTTTAATTTCTTAAATTTAAAATTAATATTTTAATCCTTAAAATTAAAATATATATATATATACATCATATTAAATTCAATTCGCATCACATAACTAACTCAATTTGTCTTTTGTTAGAAATTTGGACTTTGAAAAGACCAAAACAATTTTAACATAGATTAAAAAGATGAATTTCAAATTTAAGAAACGTATATAACAAATTTATCTCAAATTTAAAGATATTAAAATCATTTTTAAGTTTTTTAATTATTAGTTAAAACATTAAAAATAATATAATTTTTTGAGTTTCAATTCTTATTTAATATATAGCTCTCATTTCATTTATGATTTTATAATGTGTAATAAATTTAAATCAATAATAAAAGAAAAGTATTTTAGAAGGAATGTGTTAATCAATGAGTTATATGATGTTAATTAATTTTCGACCGGCCCTGCAAACTTTGGCCACATATGATCGTCTTTATTTTCAATGGACGAAGCAAGCCTGCTACAGCTTTCACCTTCACAACACGTTAACTTGCCTTAAATATTTCTCTTCTCTCACATAGGCTCATATCATCAGAAACACAATGGGCGATGATCACATGAAGACTCTTCATGCAAAGCCAAAGCAAGAACTTGAAGAACTGTACCAAGGAATCCCTGATGAGTCTGTTAACCTCACCTTTCAAGACCTAGCCAATGTGAATTTATCGTCACAAAGCACCACAATGGCCACAAATGTTCAACACTTTTCTGAACCTACCAATAACCCCACAAAGGAGCTTTCCACACTTCCTAGTCTTGACTTCAGAAGGGGCTTGGAGGCACTCAATCACGTGAACATCCATCACCATCAAGGTGGTGATGACTCACCAATGCCACCGTGGGGTCGTTTTAGCCATGCAAGTGTTGCTGCACCGAATGCTCAAAGAAGGGTCGGTGAGAATAGCATGAGCTATGATGCTACGAAGAGTTTTGCTTCTGGAAAAGGTGGTTCTGGTCGACGAAGGCGACCTGGGATTCCTCACTCTAAGATTTGCACTGTTTGCAGTGACTATGTTTACTTTTTCAGGACAAGATGCCTGGTATGTCTTTGTACATTATCACTATATTCAGTATTCAGTAACTTAAAAATGAAAAGATTTATAATTTCATATCATTCATGTTAACAAGGGCACTGTTATTACTTATTAGTACATTACAAGTTACAAAATTCTTACAATTTTTTTTCCGATTTTTCTATGTAATGTATGCAAGAAGGGACTGCATAGTTTAGTTTTTTTTTTTTTTTGTGTGTGTGTGTGTGTATAGTTAAAAACTTTTGTGTTAGTTAATTAATGATGTTTCTGGGGCATGCAGGTATGTGGCAGGGTTTATTGCAGGCAGTGTGTGGAAATAGGCATGGGAGAAATGACAGAAGGAAGAAAGTGTATTGAGTGTCTTGGACTGAGATTCAGCCAAAGGTATTAATGATTTCCTAAAATACAGTGTTTTACTTGAGAAAAAAAAGAGTACAATGCTACAATTTGTGGGATGTTAGTTGTTGTTATTCTACTCTCGTTAGAGTATAAATTCTTCACAATAAAATTATTAACTTTTGTTATAATTACGTTAAAAATTATATTTAGAGCTATTTCTAATTGATTAAAAATGTGAAATTCTTCACAATCTATCAAAATTAAATTCTTTTTATTAGAGGGATGTTAGTTGGTGTTATTTTTGTCTTGTTAGAGTATAGATTCTAACTTTACAAAATCTAGTTTATTAAGTGTGAGTTATATCTTTACTTATACACATTATTTTTGTTTTTATCTTTTGTGAATCTAGAATTTTGTACTTGGCTAGCTTCAAATTAACCTTGGAATATAAATGGTTTATGGGATATGATTGTTGTTGACACAGGTACATAGAGAGAGCAGGGATGGTAGGGTTTTGCAGTTGGAGGTATCCAAGTGCATTGAAGCATGTTGAGCTCAAGTGGGCTGAGAAAGGACCAAGGAGGAGTGGTGAAAGAGGCTATGGTGGTCACCATAGCATGGCATCCTCAAGACCAAGAACCCCTACAACCCCAAGGAGTCCTCATTCTATTGCCAGCACTGAACCTTCCTTTGTCATGTCTGCAACACGTTCTCCCTTATCTCATCACCATCACTTCCCTCTTTGAAAACAACAATTAATAAATAAATACTCTATACTATATATAATAGTAGGTTAAACAACTTTTTTAATTAATCCTAGATACGTAAAAGTTCGTTTTTAATCTCTTATTTTCAAAACATCACCTTTTCATCTTCTCTTTTTTAGTCATTTTTGTTTCTAAATCTGTTAAATATAAACACATCATCACACACCAAAATTTATGCAAGTTTGAATTTTAAAAACCCTATAAGTGTTGAATATTGGATTAACGAAGTTACTAACAAATTAAATTTTGACACATTTTACAAAAAGGGATCGAACGTCAACTTTTTAAAATGAAAGATTAAAAATGAGCTTTTACATATTTATGAGAATGATAGAGATGTTTAACCCTAAAATAATATATTTCAGACTACTCTAGTGCTCCATAATATATTAATTTTTTCTGAGCTTTTTGTTTTCAACTTGATGAATTTTATATTGTTTCATTCAATTTGTTGATTCAACTTGAATTAAAAGATATATTATTTCCTTCTTTATACGTGTCTCTCTTAATTTGTGCTGTGTCTTTTTCTTGCGTCTCTAGCTAAAGGTGTCTACCAAAGTCTCGCGTCAAAATAATCGCCAATACTATCTTGTTTGCGTGCATATCTGATAAGTCTTATATATAGTTTTCATAAACGACGAATACACAAGTTGTTCAAATTTTATAGATTAAATTGATAGAATAACGAGTAAATGCTGAAATATTGATTAATTATTGTAAACTTGCCGGCTTGTGTATGTTAAATGACAGTGTTGCTAGCCAGCTTTTTCACCCAATGTGTGTCACATTTTATTTTATTTTTTTGATGATAAATGTGTGTCACATTTGACTCTTTCTGTTTTACACAAACGTATGAGAGGTATTTAATATTTTCCTGAGATATAGATATTAAAAATTATACGGTATCATAGTTAATTGGATTCTTTGTTAGCATTACGTACCGTTTCATATGGATATATCTTCGTATATGGCACGTTAATTGTATATAAAATTTTATTTATGTGACGAGCTTATCTTTTTTATGTTGAATTTTCTCGTATCCACATCACTTTTTTGTAAGCATTAGCCATTAAATAGGCAAGATGTTATCAAACTAATAAAAATATTTCTTCTTAAGAAAAGTAATCTCATGAAGTATAAGTCAAATTCGGTGCTAAGACGTATGACTCTGTGTGTTGGACCTATCTTCTGTATATGCTAAGACGTCTTGGTTTCAATAACCTATGGGTTAGTTGGATCAGTGAATGCCTCATGTCTTCCAGAGTGTCTGTGCTGGTGAACGGAAGCCCGTCAGAGGAATTCGGTCCCAAAAAGGGGCTCAGACAAGGTGATCCACTGTCCCCGTTCCTATTCATAGTGGTAGCGGAAGGGTTAACGGGAATGATGAGGGAAGCTGTGAGTCAAAATAGTTTTGGTGGGGTGAAGGTTGGCTCTCAACAGGTGCCTGTCAGTATTATCCAATACGCTGATGATACTATGTTTATTGGTGAGGCAAACTTACAGAATGTAATGACAATTAAAAGTATGATGAGATGCTTCGAGATGGTCTCGGGTTTGAAAGTCAATTTCTGCAAGAGCAACTTCGGAGCTTTGGGAATTGAATCTGGTTTGGTGGAAAGCTATGCGCACTTATTGAATTGCAAAATTTTATCCTTTCCTTTCACATATCTAGGGATTCCCATTGGCGCCAATCCAAGAAAGAAAGACACGTGGAGGCCCATTGTTATCAAAATTCAGAAAAAGTTGTCATCATGGAAATGCAAGGTCCTATCAATGGCTGGTAGAGTGTGCTTACTGAACTCAGTTTTAACCTCGCTACCATTATTATTTCTCTCTTTTTTCAGAATTCCACCTAGTGTCAGCAAAGAAATTGTTAGTCTACAAAGAAACTTTCTGTGGGGATGTAAGGAAGATCAACGCAAGATTTGCTGGATAAGCTGGGATAGGGTGACGTTGCCAAAGAAGATGGGGGGATTAGGAGTCAAAAATATTATCAGGTTTAATATGGCTTTGCTGGCCAAGTGGAGGTGGTCGTTGTTTCACCAAAATGATTCTCTATGGGCCAGAGTATTATATTCGAGATATGGTGGGGGGACAAACCTTTGTGCTCAAAGTAGTTCCCGAAGAGATTCCTTATGGTGGAGGGATCTAGTTGTGGTATGTGGCGGACTAGAACAAGACAATTGGTTTGATAGGAAGGTTAAGTGGAGTATTGGATCAGGATCAAGAGTGAGGTTTTGGTTGGATAAGTGGATAGGCCCAATCTGTCTAGCAAGTCTTTTTCCGAGGTTATTCACTATTTCTGAACAGCAAAACCAGTTTATTCAGGATATGGGCTATTGGACAGGCCATAGGTGGGCATGGCAGCTACATTGGAGACGGGAAAGGTTCGAATGGGAGATACCGCTGGAGCAGCAATTAATGCAACGACTCTTGGAGTGTAATCCTAGGGCGAGGCAGGTTGACTCATGGTGGTGGTTGGGTGAACCGTCTGGAACTTATACAGTCAGGTCTGCATATAGTGCCATCACCTCTGAAGCTGATGTAGGATCCAATATTGGTGCACCTAGCAGTGTTTGGTCCATCCCGGCACCACCAAAAGCTAAAATTTTTGCTTGGAGAATGATGAGTAGGGGCCTCCCTACGGTGGATAATCTGGCTAGCAGGAGTATTGTCTTATCAGAAAATGATGCACTATGTGTTTTTTGTAAGAGTGATATTGAAACTGATTATCATTTGTTCTGCACCTGCCCGGTGGTTGACAAGGTATGGAAGGTATGTCTGTCGTGGATTAATTGTCCCGCTCCCCTTCCTAGGTGCATTTTGGACCATTTCAACTTCATTCCTGGACCTTTTCACCAAAGTACACAAGCTGTTTATTGGCGTACGGTGTGGCTGGTAACTACTTGGATAGTGTGGAGGACAAGGAATCTATGTAGGTTCAAGGATAGCAGCTTCTGTTTTGATAGTATGGTGAAAGAGATTCAGGTTCACAGTTGGAGGTGGTTGTCATCCTTCACAAAGTCTTTCCGGTATAGTTTTTCACAATGGTGCTGCAATCCTGGTCTATGTTTAACTAGATGAAGGTCTGAGGTGTCTAGGTAGGTGGAAGATAACTAAGATGCAAGTGGGTGTATAATTGATAGGTTGTTCTCAAAACTGGGTAGGATAAATTATAGTTTAATTCGATCAGTTAGAGAGGGAGGGTGGGTGGGGTAGAGTTGCTCATAATAAGGCTGGAGTAGCGAGTTGTGAAGGGTTCACTGTAACAACTACTGAAGTGGGTAATCTTCTTTTTTATTTTTTTATTTTCTCTTCATGGGTTACAGATGTTTGGTTCTATTTGTAAACTTGTCTTTTCTCTTTTGGTACCACTGGTACCTTTCAATGAAATTTTTCTTAGCTGTTCAAAAAAAAAA